CAGAGCACAGCCTTAACCCGCTCCGGAGTTAGGGGAGGTGGACAGAGCACAGCCTTAACCCGCTCCGGCGTTAGGGGAGGTGGACAGAGCCTTCAGATGCGCCCTTCGCCGCTCTTCCGCGCTGCCTTGGCCCCTTCTCTGACTTCGCTGAGGTCGTGGTTGTGCTGCTGCAGAGAGGAATTCACAGAACAGCCGCAGACGAGCTCTCTGGGGTCTCCTCCCCGCTCGCACTTCTTTTCTTTTTTCTTTTTTTTTTTTTTTTTTTTAAATTGGTTTTTCTCCGGTACCGGGAACCGAACTCACGACCTTGCGCTTGCCAGGCAGGCACTTTTGCCGCTGAGCTAAATCCCCAGCCCCGCCCCCGCTCGCACTTCTGCACTCCTCCTCCAGCCCGCAGGGCCTCCAGGGTCTTGCTTCGTTGCAGGGACTGCAGCCAGGGTCTGGTGAGGCCTCAGGAGACGTGGAGGGCGGACGGTGGTGTTCGGTGCCTGGGTCTCAGGGATGACAATAGGTCTCCCTCTCCAAACACACGGGGCCTTCCTGGATGCAAGTTTGCGGGGCAGAGTGAGGCAAACTGCCAGGGGACATGAATTCACAGGACACAGGACATGACGCAAGTGCAAGTATGGAAAGACTGCCGTTGAATTACATTATTCCGTCTGAATCTCAATGGACGGAGTGATTGGATTGATTGATTGATTGATTGATTGATTGGAGGACTGAACCCAGAGACTTTGCACTGGGCTGTCTCTCCACCCTTGAAAATTTTGTTTTGCCATAGAGTGTGGCTCAGTTTCTCAGGTTGGCCTCAGACTTGTGGTCCTCCTGCCTCAGCCTCCCAAGTAGCTAGTATTAGAGGCATGTGCGTTCTCACCTGGCTTATAGTTTTAAATACATGTGATAAATATATTTAAGGAGATGAGGTATGATATTAGCAATATGAGGCAGGAAAAATATCATGAAATGTAAACAAATAGCAGGTAAGAAAAACAAAAATTAGAATGAATACGTAATGGTACTAGTTAATAATAATGTGGGCTAAATAGTAGAACTGATGCAGCTGAAGGTGAACGGGTGATTAGAAGAGCAGTTGCAGCATCTTTCCAGAGGCTGTGGGAAAAGTCAAAATATAGTAAGCATGTTAGTCAGTGTCCCATTTCTGTGACAAAATAACCCTGAGATAAACAAGTTAAAAGTGGAAAGATTTGGGCTCATAGATTCAGAGCTTTCAGTCCATGGTCAGCTGGCTCCATTGCTTTTAGACCCTAGCAAGGTGGAAACAATTTGACAGAAGACAGAAGCAGAGCGGGGGAGAGAGAGAGAGGGAGGGGAGACAGAAGAGGGAAGAGAGAAGAGACAATGGGCTGCGGACGAGATACAGTTCCCAGGTTCCCACCCCATGACCCACTCCCTTCAAGTAGTCTCCATCTCCTGCTTCCGTCACCCTTCAAGGAAGCCATCACGTTATGATCTCACCAGTGGGTTTTCCCAGTGGTAAGTCAGAGCCCTCACCAGCAGATCAGCTCCCCAGATCCCCACCTCTGAATGTGGCTACACTGGGGCTCAAACCTTCAACACCCTCCTGAGTGCTAGGATTGCAGGCGTGTGGCACCACGCCTGGACAAGACTAATAATCTAGAACTTGTAATTTTCTAGTGAAAACCAGATTTTCACTAGAATGTGAGGTTTTAATAAGAATATTAATATGAAAAATCCATTTGGATGACATTCTCAGAGGAAGTAATCAAAGAAGAAAAATGGGGTGATACAAAAAATACAGGAAGAGAATGGCAAAATATTTAGGCTAAATTTACTATTATTGTCTTAGAAAAGTAGAGCCAGGGACCTTATTACATTATAAAAATCTGGGAACACTCCAAATATCCAGGTTATCTACATACCAAATTTGTAGGGAGCAGCCAAAGCTAGAAATACTTCTGTCCTGAGATAAACATCTTGCCTGAGACAATTCCAGTCAGTAGTCACTAGGCAATCCTGCATCTCATGATACTAACTTTGTTAAATGGGTAAATAAACACTCCTACAGTGGTACTTCAGTCCTTTTCCTCCCGTCAGGAGAAAAAGAGGACTCCACTTGACCTCAGCTTTTTTTTTTTTTTTAAAGAGTAAAAGAAGGATAACACAATAATAGGGAGGGGGCTTACCAAATTACAGACAAAGTGGTAGGAGGTTATCAATGGTTATTGTTTTACATATTGTTATCTACAAGACAGTTTCTCGAGAAAACAAATAGACATAATATTGAGTTACAGGCAAAAGAGGTAGGAGATTATCAATAGTTGTACTATACTTAGGTAACTTCAAAGTGGCTTCTAAAGACTGTAAATACAACTATAGATGAGTGACCTATTGAATAATCATTCAATAATTCTCAACGGTTGTTGTAGGAAACACATAATAATAAACATGGATCCATTTATGAAATAGGATAGGAAGAATACAAACATTACAGAGCTATGGATAGATTACTAGGAAAATATCTATGACTGCTGAAATACATGGTGGTATCTTTGAAGTGGTTTCTCAGGAAGACAGAGATACACAAGAAGGATCTAACAAATAATTACAACCCAAGGGTTGTCAAAACTCAAGTGAGCCGTCTGGGGCGAAAGCCATTTTTTGTAGCGTTTTTCTCTCCAGCCTCCCATTGCATTGGGACCCCACAAGCAGTTAGTGTCCTCTCCCCAACTGTCAGCACAGGCAGCAGGAATCCTGCTGCAGACTTCTCTGGAGCTCCACCACAGCCTGTACTGTCAGGGGAAGAATGGCTTCCAATGAGTCTCTGCAGGTATTGTGCAAGGTC